TGCTGAATGCTGTTGATCAGGGGCATTTCTAGGAGCTTTTAAGGTCTGTAGGAGAGGCCAACATGTGGGTGCAACAACTAACTCAGGTCTTGCTGGGGCATTGGGGCCTAAGGCCCAGAGTAATGAACAGATTGACTTTGCTGTTTACTTCTTTGCTGTTCACTTTGTGAAAACTCACAGCAACCAGAACCAGAAGAACTTGGTTTGGTTCTTCACAATGTCCTGGGGGGCTTGTTTCCAGAAACAAGGGAAGACTGGAGGCTTCTAATGGAAAAACATTAAAAATAGGGAGACCAGGTGATTCAATCTGTGCTTTGGGGTTAGGCAAAAGTGGCAGTGGGAGCTCACCCAGGTTTAGTCAACCTCCTGCACAGTTTGACTTGACTGTGCAGCCCCACACAGTGTTGCTGCTGCCATTGGACCACTTGTGTTTAGCTGATATCAAAGCCAGCTCTGTTGCATCACTGTCAGCCTGGAGAAGGGATATGAGCAAGGCTGGCCTTGCTTGAGCAGCGTTTGCAATCTTGAGAAGGTACCTTCTCCGCTCTCCATTTCAGGAGGACATCAGTATTTCAGCAGAGCTCCAGACAGGGCAGTCACAAGACCCATGATGTGACAGGGTCATGGTTCAGCTGCCCTTCCTTGCAGAGAGCATATGGCCAAAGTATGTGGCATGATATATTATCTACAGTTCTTAGACCCCCAAAATACCCCACTCCCTATCAGCTTTTATGCCTACCCCATAGCAGAGCATGGGATGTTTCCTGCTAGCCCTTGAAAAGGACACTGCAATCACTGCTGCCTGCCAGCTAGTTTATCTCAGCCGTGCTGTTGCTGTGGGCTTACATTCAGCTGCTAATGCTTCCACTTTGCAATTTCCTTTATGGGGAAAAAAAAAAGAACTAGGGAATTACATAAAGAAAAAGCCTGTGAAAAGAAAGAAAGAAGGAAAGAAAGGGGAAAAATTATGTTTGCAAAGGCAAGAGCATAGGATTTGAAAAGCACCAGAATTAAGTTGCCTGTTCAATTTAATTTTATGCCTGCTGTTCTCACATTATGCAGCTGTCTTTAATTCAGCAATCACATACTCCTCAAAATTGGGTTCTGGGTTGGCGCAAGCAGTGCCTGTGGCAAAGAAGGGCAGGAGAAGACCTATTTTCCTGTGTGTCCTTGGCTTTGCTCTGTGGTTTGGAAGAATCGAGTTCAGCCACAGGTGGCTTGGGCTTCAGTTTCTTTGGCTGGCAGAGTGACACATCTTGGCTAGGAGACCGTGGCACATCCTCATTGGCGCCACTAAACAGGACTTGGAGAAATGGTGGCTGCATCATTTTCAGCCTTCATTTGAACCTACCAAAAAAAAAAAAAGTTGCTACATGGGGAAGCCCAAAGTCATTCCTGAACTAAGAGCAAAGAGAGCAAATGCACTCAAGCAAAAAAAAAAAAAAAAAAAAAGATGGAGCAGGGAGCACCAGCCCTCCTCAGATACTCCAGTTCTCCTCCTCTCACTGCTCTGAAATGGAGCACATCACTTGGGGCTTTTCAAAATGCAAAGTTTTGGCTACTTGTCTTAAAAAGACCATAAATTATTAAAGGGGGAACGAGGGGAGGGAAGCATTTAAACAAAAGGGATTGTGTACCCCCTAAAATCTGACCTGGGGCATCCTTGACACGACTTCCTCGGGCAGCCAGGACCAAGAGGGCTGAAGACGTCAAATGCTTCGCCAGCAAGGCAAAGGCTGCAGGGTTAAGTCAAGCTTGGAAAATCAGCTGTGCCCTTGGCTACATGAAACCTGGTCTCAGGAGCTCGCAGCACAGGCAGTTCGTTTTGCAGCGAGGCTGTGCAGCATCCAATGAAGCACTGTATAATATAAGAGCCGTGTATGCTCTGCAGGGAGCAGTCTGCATCAGCTGGAGAGGGGAATGTGGGGCTACACTCCATGCTGCAGCACTTATTTTATGACTTAATATTGTTATAGCAGCACTTAAGGGCCTATTCTCTTTTCCCTGTGCTCATATAGCTCCCATTACTGCTAATAGAATATGGATCTGTTAAAGAATTCAGACTGTGCACCCAGTCTAGGATCTGTTTGCAGTACTTGATGGTATCTTCAGTGTCTTTTCTATTACCTGGAAACACCCCTTGTTAAGGAGCTTGCAGTCAGGTGTCCTATGACTTATGGATCAGCCCTTGACAACAGATGAACAAGGTACCTGGATATGCCCTAACGTCTTAATAAGACAAATTAACATCTGTAAAGCAGTATCCTTGATTAGAGGGGAAAAGGACTGTTCCTGTAGTAGCCTTGTCTCACTGTGACAACCTGCAGAATGCAGATGGCCAAAAAGCCTCAGGGAGATATTTCATCCCATGTTCATCCAGCATGATGATGCTAACACACATAAATCCTGGTGTCCTCCTTGCAATAGGTCAGCCTTTCAAGCTGGACCCTAAGATGGCTCACAAGAAGTTGAAGATCTCCAATGACGGGCTGCAGATGGAAAAGGACGAGAGCTCCTTGAAGAAGAGCCACACACCCGAGAGGTTCAGCGGGACGGGATGCTATGGAGCCGCAGGCAACGTGTTCCTCGACAGTGGCTGCCACTACTGGGAGGTGGTGGTAGGATCCTCAACCTGGTGGGCACCTCTGTTGTCTTCTCTCCCTCCTTCCCTTCCTTTATCCCTCATACGCCACCAGTGATTTCAACAGAGATGCTGTAGGACCTGCTATTATAAAATAACTATGTTTTTTCCTCCATGGCTGGTGGCTGGTGTGGCCATTGCTGAGAAGGGAAAGCTTAATTCCTGGTGGCTGTGAATTTACAAGACATTATAAAAGACAATCTAGACCTCAAGCTGCAGGAGCATATCCCATGCCTGATTCACTCTATTCCATCCTATATGCATGCACAGACTGAGCCCAGCTCACCATCAGTGGCTGGTGATTGCTGTAACTGCAGAAAGCTGGACAGTCCTACCTTGTGGTCCCTTGTGGTCTAGGACACCAGCTGGAGCCTGGCTGGCATAAGGAGGGAGTAAGGAGCAGATCTGTGACCCCCTCGTTAGGTGGATGGTGCTCTGCCTTCTTCCAGGGCTGTGATCTTGCAAGATGCTGGTATGGTGGGTAGTCTCCAAAGGCTCTGTTAAAGCCCTGTTGGGCCAGACAATATGAAATAACCTCACCAGGGTTATTTTGGAAGGGGGCTCTTGAAGCGTGTGGTCGTCTCACTCCAAGGTGGTAGGTTATTAAGCAAAGCTTGTCTTGTCTTCTAGGTACGCCATCGGTGTCGCCTACAAGTCAGCCCCCAAGAACGAATGGATCGGGAAGAACTCCTCGTCCTGGGTCTTCTCCCGCTGCAACAACAACTTTGTGGTGAGACACAACAACAAGGAGATGCTGGTGGAGGTCCACCCACAGATGAAGCGTCTCGGCGTCCTCTTGGATTATGACAACAATGCGCTGTCCTTCTATGACCCAGCCAACTCCCTCCACCTCCACACATTTGAAGTTTCCTTCATCCTACCAGTGTGTCCAACGTTCACCATCTGGAACAAATCTTTGATGATCCTCTCGGGTCTACCTGCTCCAGACTTCATAGATTACCCAGAACAACAGGAGTGTAACTGCAGGCCGCAGGAGTCCCCGTATGTCTCAGGGATGAAAGCCTGTCACTAGGCTGGGGCCAGCCCTGCCTGTGCCCCACAGCCCGACATGGGGATGCTGACGGATGCTCGTGGTCGGCACCTGGGATCTTCCAGACAGCGAGGCTGGAGAGCAGCCCCTGCAGCCGACTCAGTAATGCTCACACAAGCAAGCGCCCTCCCAAACAAAGCTCTTCTCTTTCTATTTTAGGGGGAGGAAGAATCTCTAATCACGGGTGAAAATAAACTCATGTTGACGAGCTCCATTTCTGTGAGGGTGAGGCTTGTGAAACTCCCAGTGCGGTATGAGCAAATCTCCCCCCAAAGCAGATTGCCATGTGGATTGTTTTGCTTTCATTTTGGGGGTGGAAGGGCCAGAGAGGGTTCTGGGGTGACCTTTGCAGGCTCTGGCATGGTCAGAGGGCTCGTCTCTCCAAGAGACGCAAGTGGAGCAGGAGGGACCAGCTTCCTGGAGCCCTTTCCTGGCCATCTTGAGCGTCAAGTGGGACCTGAGCACCATTTTCGGGTGATAATTTTCTGTTTGGCAGCTTCTTTAAAACTTCACTAGTGTCCGGTATCTTGTAGAAGAAAAGCACATATCCCTGCGCTGAGTGGCCGGGAAAGTCATGCCCAAAGATGGTTTCCATGATTTATGACCCGAAGCCAAGCTTCTGCCTCTGCACTTACTGATCCTCAGCTGGAGCTGGCACGGGGCACAAATGAAGGGGTTCATGAGGTTGGAGAGGGCATGTGCTAATGCCAGGGCTGTTCAAAGGGCATCAGTTTGCTCGTTATGGGAAGCTCCTGGGAACAAAAATCCAACGCAGGTGTCTGCAGGTAGGAGCTTTGGTGTGACTTGGTCCAGGAGCTGGGGTCTAAGGTGAGTGCAGTGGCCATGGAGAGACCTTGGGATGTGTCACTGCTCTGCGCTCTGGGCCTACGTTAGCATTGGTCCATGAGCTATGACATCTGCTGTTTTTCCAAAAATTCTAGTGAAAGAACGTTGCTGATCCTCAACCCTCTCCCCCCTAGAAAAGCCACAAGCTGTTGTCACAACCAGGACTTAGATGGGCAGAGCTGGCATTTTCCATGTGCTACTGGATGAAGGTGTCTCCATGGCATGGCAGGAGGACAGTGGCCTGCCCCTCATCCTGCAGCTGCCACAGCTGGTGGATGGGACCCTTTGCTCTAGGATACAATTATTTTTAAGATGACAAATTGCCATTTCTGTTTGCCTGTTTCTTTTCGAAGACGTGTGGGCTATCACTAAATTGTTTTCCCCTTGTGCTGGGCCCATCAGGGGCTGCTTGCAATGCCTCGACCTCAAAGAAATACCCAAGCGCTGGAGATGGATTTTAGCATTTGCAATGCGGGTGCCAAGCTTCTGCCTGCCCTGGCACCGCTTTACCTGGCTTCTTGCTAGAGGACTCAGCGCATCCATTAACTCAGAGCACACGAGCCATTAATGTGACATTTGCACCTGATGAAATTGCACTAATTGCAGTGGGATCCCCGTAGCCCGCCACATCTGTCTCATACTCACGTCAGGCAGAAAGGGGGTTAGGAGCAATTTCTCATGCTTTTCCAAGGCCAAACCCGCCCCAGCTCTATCCGGGTGGGATGAGCGGCCCCCACCCTTGCTCATGTCAATGTGAATGGATCTGTTTCAGGTCCCACTCAGTCCCTGAGCAAGCGATCCCATTGGTTAAAACTGCCCGGCGTTTGATGACACAGCAACTGGTTCAGCCAATCAGAGCCCCCCAGGGCTCATGAATGAACCTTTTGCACGGTCCGGGCAGCGGGTCTGGACCACGGGGAGCAGCCGTGGTGGCCCTGGCCCTCGACGGAGGCCACAGGGCCATCACGGCTCTGCTCCCTGCAGGGCTTGGGGCTGCTGCCGGTTGTTCTTCTCATAGTGACTCCATTGTATAAGCTTGGGATGTGGTGAAATTCTGGTTACCGTGCAACCTGTCATATTCTTCTCTTCCATATGTAACATATTTGGTTTGGTTTGGGGAGGGGGGCTGCTTCTCCTTTTATGTTTTTTTTGTTTGTTTTTCTTTTGTTTGTTTTTTTGTTTGCAACTTCTTTGTTAATGTGTATATATATATAAATATAATATAATATATATACGTTACTGGATATGTCTGTGTGTGTTGGAGATTGGGCAGTTAGGGACATCCCTGGTTCTTCAAATGCCCTCTTGGGCCATCGTGGTTGGCATTCCCCAAATCTTCCACTGTAACTGGAAGAACTGGGCCATTTCTTTCTCCGAAGATGTTTGTGTGTCCTGCGGGAACAGCCCCACTTACTCCCCTTCACCTCTGTTTTACACAAAGCCTTTACCCTGAATTTTGGCTTGATACCTCAGCAAAACCTTTCTCAGCTGAGAATGGACCCAGGCACCTCAACCACTCTCCACAGCCCTCTTCCATGCAAGAAATTAGGTAAGCTGACTCGGGGTTATAGAGTCAGATATGATCATATCAATAAATAAGCAGCACCAAAGAAAAGGTCTTTGCAAATATAGAGGTAACACTGGATGGGCATGGAAGACATCCCAGCTGAGCCCCTGCTGGAGAAACCCCTGAGTTCAGGTCTGTCTCCCATCGGTCAACTTGGTGCTGGCCTGAGCTCACCCAGGGCTTTCCTTTGCACCTTTCTCATGTTCCATGTCAAAGACAGGTAGTTGGAGAGAAGGGGCTCAAAACTTGAGCATGACCCAGGCAAAATAAGAGAGAGTGTGGAAGGCTAGGCAAAGACCCACAAGCCCGCAGAACACACAGCCTATGTTTGGTGAGCAGAAGTGTTTTAAAATATTTATAAAGGAGAAAACATATGGTGCAAACTCAAACTATAAAATTAAATATTTCATATTCTATTTCTTTGCTTGAGGTTCTTTCCCGTCAAACATTAAACATCAGCACATGGAAACCAGCCTCGACATGAAATATCTGCTTTCATTATGGGACAAATCCATGGCATACACAGTATCTCAGACCTCGGTTCTTGAGGCATGATGGAACTGATATTGATTTTTGGAGCTCTCAGTTTTGCTCCCAAGAATTTGTCACATGCCATATTCAAAATCTCCTTTCAGTAATCCCCCCCCAAAAAACATTTTTTAAACCATATCTGACACACCAGTAAATAATGTCAGGGGATTTTTCATTAGTATCAAAATGCCACAAATATTCTTCCAAATGACTTTCAAAGGATTTCACTCACAGATTTTTCCAGTTGGCCCCAACACAGATCTTAAAACACTCACGAAAACCCAGAGGCAACACAAGCCCAGGTAACTGCAGCAAAGGAGACACCAGGGCATGGAGCCAAGGCCGAGCATCCAAGGGACAGTGGGGACACAAGAGCAAGATTTAATTTTTCCCGAACTCTGCACAAGGGGACATGGTGTTAGTCACCGCAACAGCACTTGAATTCACAAACTCTACTGTATTTCCAGAGCCCCCGTGAGAGGCAGCAGTATTATCTCCACTCTGCAGAGCGCTGGCACATGAGCACAGAGAGATTAATGGGATCCTTGTCAAAAGTGTCGGGCAATGTGCAGGGCTGTGTTTCTCTGAGCTATTAACACTTTCAGAGAGCGGTGTTTAATGCTTATCCCACAGAGGCTGCTGGGATGACTGAGCATGTGGAAGTGGCATTTCCTGAGGTTTATAATCTGGCTCCAGCAAGCCTAACAAGCCTACTTTCATCTTACAGCAGCGATGCCCATGAAATACTAAGCACCACTTACTTCCTTATGCTTGTTTCAAACCTACCACCGAATAATTTCAAGTTTGGGGCAAAAACCTCCTGCTTTTTCTTTTGCCCTCAAACATAGTAAAAGAATCTTGGAAAGAAAGATTTTTTTTTCAAGTTTGTGGCGGTCACTGGGTGAGGCAACACAGAGGCTGAGAGCTTCCATAAGAGAACTGCAATGTATGGAGAAAAAACAGAGAGATTGGCTCTTCTTGGGCATGGATGTTGTCCCTCTGGCCAGCAAAGTCTGCAGTGCAGGGCAGATTAAGCACTCAGAAGGATCAGAACTTCACTGGATCACTGGGACTAGGCCTCAGTATGGAGAAACAGGACATATGTCCTGGAAAAGGAATGACAAGGTCTCCTCCCACGTCTTCTGGCCATACCCGGAGCCTGTGGAGCATGTCCATCATGGGATGCTCCTCCTTCCTGCCTTATTCTGCCCTCAGCCAGCTCCCCAGGGTAACCAGGTCGATGAGCGCATTCAAACCCAGCACAAGGATGTTCTTTCCAGTCCCCACAGCAAGATGGGTATGGCCTAGGGCTCTCTATCCACATTTCTGCAAAGCCAAAGGCGACTTCACCCTGCAAAGCCATTGTAATATCTGGTCATCTTTATTTTTATTAACAGCTGGTGCTATGCAGAGAGCAGTTAGGAGCTTTTCCTCTTTATTTATTTGGAGCCTTTCTCCATTAACATCTGCGTTCTAGGAAACTATCTGTTTTTGGTGGGCACCTGTGAAAGGCTATTTAAAACCATTATAGACATAGCAGGTTACTTCATAGGAGGAGAAAAACGAAATGATGAAATCAGCTTTACTACTGCTTTCCAGGAATCTGCTTTTAAACATGAGAGACTTTGCTGTCACACAAGCAGCAAATCAAACGAGAAATTGCTTCCTTGAGTCTGCCAACAGGGAAAAGATTGCGCTGCAGACTTCTGGCGTAATGAAGGTAGCTACAGGGATGTCTGAAGCAGCAACACCCCCCTCACTGCGTTCTAGCACAGATCATCACATTTTCAGTTCAGCTCCCGGGCAGAAGAAGGCAGAGGATGCTTGGCAGCAGGAGAAGGACTTTTTCAAGCTATTCTATGGGCTTGGGGGAGCTAGTGATGTAGCAGGGGGAAGGGTATGACAGTGCCAGGGATCACCCGCACGGGGCAAATGGTTTTTCGTGCCTGTGCTACACATCTGAGCTGGCCCCAAATTAATCCATCATATTAGAATTATAATATAGATTTTTAATACACATTTTGAGAATCAGCGCCCAGAACTGTCAGGTCTTGATTATTAGTCATGTCAATGCGTCCCTTCACATGCT